CATTTGTCTTTGCCTGACTTACTCTCCTCAGCACAATACCCTCTAGGTCCATCCATGTTGTTGCAGATATCAAGATTTTATTCTTATTTGTTTATTTTTATGGCTGAGTAATATTCCGTTGTATACGTGTACCACTTCTTCTTTATCCATTCATCCACTGATGGACACCCAGGTTGCCTCCATATGTTGGCTATTATAAATAATGCTGCAATGAACATATGGATGTATGTATACGTATGTCCTTCAAAGTAGTACTTTGAGTTTCTTCGGTTAAATACCCAGAAGTGAGATTACTGGGTCCTTCTTTGTCTCTCGTTACAGCCTTTGTTTCAAAGTCTGTTTTGTCTGGTATAAGTATTGCTACCCCAGATTTTTTTTTTTCATTTCCATTTTTCACGAAATATCTTTTTCCATCCCTTTACTTTCAGTCTGTGTATCTTTCAATCTGAAATGAGTCTCTTGTATGCAGCATATGTAAAGGTCTTGTTTTCTTATCTATTCAGCCACCCTATCTTTTTTTTAAAAAAACGCCTACAGCACCTGGTCTTCCTATGTGGTCTCCCATCCAAGTACTAACCAGGCCCGACCCTGTTTAGCTTCAGAGATCAGACGAGATCGGGCACGTTAAGGGTGAAATGGCTGTAGACCACCCTAACTTTTGATTGGAGTATTTAATCCTTTTTTCATTTGAAGTAATTGTCGATAGATATGTTATTGTTGCCATTTTATTATTCTTTTGATACCTATTTTTTTCTTCTTAACGAAGTCCCTCCAACATTTCCTGTAACACTGACTTGGTGGTGATGAACTCCTTTAGCTTGTTCTTGTCTGGAAATTTCTTTGTCCTTCGATTCTAAATGATAGTTTGCTGGGTAGAGTAATCTTGGTTGTAGATCCTTGCTTTTTTCGTCACTCTGACTGTTTGGTGTCAATCTCTTCTGGCCAGCAAAGTTTGAGAAATCAGCTGACAATTTTATGGGAATTCTCTAAAAAGCAATTAGGTAACTAATTGCTTTTCTCTTGCTGCTTTTATGATTCTCTTTAAGCTTTGGCATTTTAATGATGATGTGTCTTGGTGTGGGCCTCTTTGGGTTCATCTTTGGGACTCTGTGCTTTCTGGACTTGTATGTCTCTTTCCTTCAGCAGGTTAGGGAAATTTTCCATCATTATTTTTTCAAGTAAGTTTTCAATTTCTCGTGCTCTCTCTTCTCCTTCTGGCACCCCAATGATGCAAATGTTATGCTTGATGTTGCCCAAGAGGCTCCTTAAACTATCCTCTGTTTGGATTTTTTCTTGGTGCTCTTTCGATTGGGTGTTTTCTGCTCCCTTATCTTCTAAATCGCTTTGATCCTCTGTTTCATCTATCTGTTGATTCCTTCTCATGTATTTTCGCTTGTTACTGTATTCTTCATTTCTGGTTCTTTTTTAGTTTTTGACTGGTTCTTGACTTCTAAATCGCTTTGATCCTCTGTTTCATCTATCTGTTGATTCCTTCTCATGTATTTTCGCTTGTTACTGTATTCTTCATTTCTGGTTCTTTTTTAGTTTTTGACTGGTTCTTGACTGGTTCTTTTAGTTCATGACTGGTTCTTTTTTAGTTTTTGAGTTCACCGAGCATCCTTATAACCAGTGTTTTGAACTCTGCATCTGGTAGATCGCTTGTCTCCACTTTTAGTTTTTCCGGGGCTTTGTTCTTTCATTTGGATCATGTTCATCTCCCCATTTTGGCTGTTTCCTTTTGTTTCTATGTATTAGGTAGGGTTCCCCAGTCTCCCAGTCTTAGTAGAGTAGCTTTATGTAGGTGTTCTGTAGGGCCCAGTGGCACAGTCTTCCCTGGTCACCTGAGCCAGATGCTCAGAGTGTGTCCTGGTGTGGTTTGTGTCCTCCTGTTGTAGTTGAGCCTCCATGGCTGTTTTCTCACTGATGAGAGAGGTTGACCCTCAGGCTGATTAGTTGTGAGAATTGCCAGTGAGGGGCCAACCCTATGGAGTACATTCACTTTAGCAGGGCTCTGCTGTCTGCCCAGTCTGCTCTTCGGGTGTATCCTCCTCAGATGCAGCCCTGGGTGGTGCTCTAGCTCCAGATAAGGGCCTTCTGGGAAGGGCCCAGCTGCAGGCCAAGTTCAGCGCAGCCTGTGTACTACCCAGGGCCACCTGGCAAGAGTCACCAAACAATATGCAGATGGCTACCACCTGTGCTGGGCTTAGAGGTACCTCGAGAAGCTAAGTCAGGAGCCAAGGCTGGCTCCTGCTAGTGCCAGGCTTGAAGCTGCTCAGCAAGAAGTACATGCCATGCCAAGTCCAGATGCTACTTTTTTGGGTTTTGTGAACTTTTAAGAGTTTAGGAAAGTCTGCAGCATAAGCTAATACAGGCCATTTGTATGGGAAAAAACACTGGAAGCAGTCTGGGTGGGCCTGCAAGTTTGGAGGGGCAGGGTCTCAGGGAATCACCTGGGTAAGCCTATCTGTGTTAGACAAGTTGATGGAGACGCAGATATGGCTGCTGCCTATATATACGGACAGGAAAGGGGGAGGGCTCAACAAAAGAAAAATGGACTCCACCAGCACTTCTGTCTGGGAGAGAGCCGCTCCTCAGCTCTTGCCCTGAAGTCAGACAATTCAGTTCCTCCCCGTATGTCCTTGGTACCTTTGGGGTAGCTGCCTCAGTGCTGGAGTTCAGAGCAAGTGAGTCCATCACCTGAATAAGTCTGCATGCGGGCGCCTCAAGAATAATATCTGCAACTCCCACAGCCCTCCGTCTCCCTCAGCCACAATCTCTACTGGTTTTCACAGGCAGAGTTTTTGGGGCCTTCTCTTCCTGGCACTGAAACCCTGGGCTGAGGAACCCAGTGTGGAGCTGGGACCCCTCGCTCCTCCCGGTGAAGGCAGGGAGGGGGTGGGAGGGTTCTGCAGCCAAGATAACCCTCCTGGTTTTCAACCCTCACCCAAAGTTATGAGACTGACCTATTTTACATCTCCAACCCTCCTACCAGTCTAAAGGTGGCTTCTTACATATGTCCTCAGTAGTAGACATCTTGAGACATCCTGAGATGTCTAAAGGTGGCTTCTTACATAGTCCTCAGGACTCTTCTGTTCAGACAGACCTCGGGCTACTCTCAGTGATGGTTGTTCTATAGTTTCATTGTAATTTTGATGTGGTAGCGAGAGGAGGCAAGCACAGCATCTACCTCCTACACCATCTTGACCAGAAGGTGTTCATTTACTTTTTAAAAAGCAGGTAATACTACTCTTTATTTAAACCCCTACTGTGGCTTCACATTCTCACAAGGACAGGCCCAGCCTAAACCTGTTTCCTGCTTCATCACATAGCCTGTCTTCTGCCCAGATTTTGTCTGATCCTGGGGAGCCCTGTCATAATATAATCTATTCACCATCGTATCCCCAGCAGCCCACAATGCCTGCTCCTTTGTTGGTACTCAAGATGTCTTTTTGGGATGAATCAACAAATGAATGTTCCCACATCGACTGCCATGGTTAGTGTGAACAGACACGGTCTGGTTAGTGTGAACAGACACGGTCTGGTTAGTGTGAACAGACACGGTCTGGACTTCTCATGGGGTTTTGTGCGCTACTTTCCAGTAACTTGAGCTCTTTGGCACCCATCTGAGTGCTTTCACATGAGTCCTGCTAACCTCAATAGGTGTGTTTTGGTTTGTTTAACATTCTGATAGTCCTTATAAAACCAAGAGAAAGAGGTAAGTTACACATGAAATGATTCAAAGTGTGTGCCTGAGGGGGCAGGAGGTGAGATAGGACCTGAGAATAATGAGCTAAGAGCTCAAAAATGGAGCACAGGGATCCCAGATGTGTTCAAACGAATACTGCTCAGCAGGACAAGCTATGTGAGTTTTCCTTTTCAAAAACACCAGAGCACAGAATAGTCAGAAAACTGTTAAGTGGAGACCAGGTCCCAAGAGTACACTGTGTTTTGGCCAGCAGGACTTGATATGACAGTCAGGTAACCAGTTGAGCCTAACAAGGCCTGGGGATGGCACAGGCTCCTAACTTCCTAGACCAAATGCCTGACAGGGATGCTGTCACCTTATCCCCCATATGCCTAGTCCTTAGACTAATCAACAGTAGAGTGCCACCAATTAGATTCATCCCTACGAGATTTATACCAAGCAGATAAATCCTAACTTTAGATTTATAAAACATAAAACAATGAAAAAGTTAATTTAAGTACTTTGGTTATGAAAAATATAGAAATGGAAAAAATATCTCAAAATATCAGTGAAATTAGAACAGGTCACAGGGCCAAGGGCGTGGGCTTTAGGGTCAGACAGATAGGACTAGCTGGGTTTTCTAGTGCTGAATACACCACCTCTTGGCTTGCTGGCTCACCAGTGAGATAAACCCTACCTCCTACCTTGCTGAGAATAAACAAAATAGTCCTATGAACAGGTTATAGGAACTTGTCTTTAGAAGGTGTTTCATCTAAAATCACTTTGGTTTATGAAGATTGCAGGCACTTAAAAAAAATTAGGAATCCCGACCTGGATTTCTAGGGCCTCAGGAGCAAACAGCTCATGAAAGGGCAATTATCCTTATGATAACTTTTGTACTCGTAAAGGTGGGTATGTTAAGTTTTCTCAAAGCATTTGTAATTTATTACAGTAGTAATAACGTTGGCATTCCTTGCATTTTTCGTTTTTTGTCTTAGCTATTTTTTCTTTTTTGTATTAGTTTCTATTACATGAACAATGTTAAATATGTACTTTCGTTGCGATCACAGGCTCAAGTGTACAATACAGCCATGCAAGCTAGAGCCTGCCTTATGTCATGCTACGTTAACTAATGTTATTTAACAAACTGTGTCCATTTTAATGGGTTATATTGTTTTAGTATAAATGAGTGTCAATTTAGGGACCAAGAAATGCATGAAAAGATTTCCACTGAAATTAGTGGGAATTTTATTTTTGATTTAGGATAAATTCTATTCTCCAGGCCCATAAAATCATATACAAATACACACATATATAAGGTTCTTAGATCTTTATTTTACAACATTTGGTATATACTCTCTCCTCTTGATTTCCTCTTCTCAGTTGAAAGTGTTTGCTCCCACACATTCTTTTCTGTGGACTATCACCAAACCATGACATATTTTAATGCAGTTTATTCAATCATTCCCATACTAATGGTCATTTAAATGGTTTCCTTTTTCTGTCCTTACCAAAAAATGCAACATACATTGATAAACATAATCTTAAGTACTGGCACTTTATTATTTCCTTAGGGACAGGTTCCAGGGAGTGAGACTGCTGGGCTGAAGAGTGTGTGTATTCTTAATGATAAAAGACAGAGTCACAATGATTTCCTAGGAGGCCATCACAATTTAAACTTCTAACAGCGTAGTATGAAATAAACCTTTCCCCCCACTTCCTTGCTGTTAGTATAAGATGACAACTTAAACAAAGGCTTATTGGACTATGGATGGTCTAGTAAATTTGTTCAGAAGTCACTCACACTCATATATAGTCACAGTATATCAATGATCTTCAAAAATTAATTTTCAAAAAAGCCAGTTATGGTTGGCATTTACAATTCTAATGCATAATTTGTGACTAACAGGAAAAGGTGGAACCTGTGAATCTGAAATCAAGCCTAAAATGGTATATCTTTAGGTTATGCAAAAGGATTCTATTGTTTGATGATTAACTTACAAAAGTTTATGGAGAGATCGCTGAACAGTAACTAATAAAACTGTCTGTGAACCTTTAAAGGAAAGGTATAACTTATATGAAGTCAGGTTCCAAAGGGAAATGCTTTAGGTTTATGATACTGGAATTCAAGGAAGTAGAAATGCCTCTCAACAGAATGCTGCAAAAATTTATTTCTAAAGTGGACTATGCACATGAAAATTTTAAAAAGCAATAAAGACATCTGATAGTTTCTTAAAATAAATTATTTTTCCTTTAAAGTCTCTGAAATGTAACATCTGTGCACTACATACACATCCCATCATTTTCAATAAGACAACTGATAAAATATTAAGAGAAACAGGAACACACACAAAAATATAGGTGGTTTCTGGGCTATACAACATGCATTTGTGTGCAAATACCCCACTGAAAAAGAAGAGCAGGATGGATATGGAGATCCTTTTATATAGCCTATTTTTATTCCGTGGTGCACACTGGGTAATACAGCTGCTTTCACTCTGCAAACCTCCTCTTAATTATCTCACGCTTGCCTATTTATGTAAACAATTCTTCTAGAAATTCTTCAGCAAACCCAGAAGCAGGTAAAAACTTCAACAGTCTTCTGTTTATTAAGATAACAATGGTCATACCAACTTACATACGCCAGCAAGCAACAGGAGAAAACGCATGTCCCACGTTTCATTTTGAACGCATACTGAGTTGGAAAGGTACTGAAAAACACGTGTGATGTTTAGTGTGGAAAATCCTGTTTGATGTGTCCTAATGATTACCGAAAACAAAAATTTCAAACTTCCAGTTAAATTCATGTGTGCAAATCTAGAATATACGATTTGCTTTGTGGCATAATCTCACACATAACCACTATATTCCTAGATATTGTCTATAGAACCTTTCTGCTGCTTTCCAGAATATTTCATTGTTGAATAATTCATTTGGGATTTTAAAAAGCTCATTGTAATACAGTTAATATGTCTATTTACAATTGGATATATTCTGATATATATTCCTTAGTTTGGGTATCAAAGCTAATTTTCAGTTGTTATTGTTCTTAGGGGACCCTATTTTTACACATTTTTGAGTTGATCTATTGTGTCTCGGTGTGAATTCCCATGCTCCTTCGGTACCTTCATGACGCTCCTCTCCCACTGGAAGGGTTTTGCAGTCTGACCTGGTTGCAGTCTCAGGGTTTGTCCCCTATGTGAACTCTCTGATGGACACTGAGTCGGGACTTCCTGCTGAAGGCCTTCCCACACTGAGAACACTCGTATGGTTTCTCTCCTGTATGGATTCGCAAGTGTAACCTAAGAGTTGACCGCTGGCTGAACGTTTTGCCGCATTCAGTACATTCATAGGGTTTCTCTCCGGTGTGAGTTCTCATGTGTATAATGAGTTGTGAGTTCTGGATAAAGGATTTCCCACATTCGCTGCACTCGTAGCGCTTCTCCCCTGTGTGAATTTTCTGATGTATAATGAGGTTTGATTTCTTGAAGAAGGTTTTCGCACATTCGTTACACTCATAGGGTCGCTCCCCTGTATGAATTCTCTGGTGTGTCGTAAGTTCAAACTTCTGGGCGAATGTCTTGCCACACTCACCGCATTCATAGGGCTTCTTCTCCATGTGTGCCCTCTGGTGTACGATGAGGTTTGACTGGTGGGTGAAAGCTTTCCCACATTCGAGACATTCAAAGGGTTTCTCCCCGGTATGAATTCTCTGATGTTTAATGAGATTTGCCTTATGGGAGAAGGTTTTCTTACATACGTTACATTCATAAGGTTTTTCTCCAGTATGTATTCTCTTATGACTAATGAGGAGTGACTTAAAGGGGAAAGCCTTGTCACAGTAGTTACAAATGAAAGGTTGTACCAAATTTCTAATTTTCTGATGTTTAAAAATGGTTTCTTTATGGCCGAAGGCTTTCCCACTTTTGTTATAGTCAGAGTATTCCACTCCAGGATGAGTTTTCTCTTGCTTTAGATAGAGAAATGCTTTTCCAAATCCATTATACTCATCAGCTTGTTTTCTTATGTAGCTTCTATTACCATTAAGTAAGTCTGAATTACATTTCAAAGTTTTTTCATATAAGTCGTATTTATAGGGTACTTGTCTTAAAGAAACAAAGTCTGTGCTCAGATTGAAGGATTTTTCAAAGAGATCACCTCTTTCCTCAATTGGGGTTTGGTTCTTAAAGATTATAAATGGCCTCGCCTGCTCATCTGGGCTTCTGTGCTCCCTCTCCATCTGGTCATCGGCCTTCCACACCTCTAGGAAAAAGCACACGAAATACTTCGTCAGCCCTTTCGCTATAATGTTATACGATGTGGTCTCTACAAATGTTTTGTTGTGAGGCTGCCTTTTTAGTTTGGGACCTAGTCTTCCAGTATTAAAAAGTGTCCAGTGCAAATTTTCCTAGCTCTTAAACTTTGAAAGAAAGAGGAAAAAAGGGATGTGGCCAAAAAAAAAAAAAAGTAGAAATAGATAATGAACACAAGTAGCATTGCCAGATTCCAAAATGACCTTAAAAGGTGGGTAAAGTGACATAAAAACTAAGGGCAGCAAACAGGAAACACATGGCATGGGAGGGCGATTCCATCCACGAAGGAGGGTCATAGTGTCCTCCAGGACACCGGACAGTTAGCACAGAGACCAAGAAAAGAAGCTGAAGACATTAAGGAAAAAGCCCTAAGCAGATCCGAGGTTAGCAACGCAAACTCTGACTCTGAGTTACCGTGGCTGGGCGGCACCTTGTCTCGTCTCTGTGCTTCCCGC